ATTATATGTTTTCGATGCAGAGTGCAAATGGCTGTGCATTTATTTGTGTTTTTAAATCGATGGGAGTGAAATGAAACTGTCTGAACGCGAAGCTGTGTGTGGTGTTTGTCTCCCCTCTTCCCCCTCCGCTCCGCCGCGCACCACACCCACTTTTTTAGCATTTTTTAAAGGGGTCATATGATGCTGCTAAAAAGAACATTATTTTGTGTATTTGGTGTTTTTAACTCGATGGGAGTGAAATGAAACTGTCTGAACGCGAAGCTGTGTGTGTTGTCTGTCTCCCCTCTTCCCCCTCCGCTCCGCCGCGCACCACACCCACATTTTTAGCATTTTTTTAAAACTGGTGAAAACTAACCAGTGCTGAAACAGGGGGGAGGCGGGGGTTTCATGACCCTTTAAAGAGACCATGTCATGAGAAATTTTCAAATTTGCTTGATTTTTTTTTTTGATTAAAGTCCTTGATGTACTATGAAAACATTCTGTAACTTTGAGAACTTCAAACTATTGAACGTTTAAGCTTGACAACTTTTTCAGAGAAATCATTTCTGACAAAACTACAGAAAACTGAGAGGGAAACATGTTTTCTCCTGTGATGGGCAGTTTAACATCTGATCTGAACAGATGGTTTAGGTGGAAGGTCAGGGAGGGTTAGTGGGAAAGTAAATGAACAAACCTGACTGGCGTTTGCTGAGGCAGCAGTGACATAAGGGCTAACAGCAGGAACAGCTGGTGCGCCGAGCATCATGGGAACTTTTTCAACAAGGAACACACACGGAAGCAATAAAAACATAACGGAATTTGTAGCAAAAATGTGGGCAGGTGAAGTGACTGCATGCACATGTGAGTGTGTTGGAGTGAAGGTACCTGTGGGGAGTAACGCTGTGGCCGTCTGCAGTGGTGTGGGGCTGACGGTCTGCTGGAAGGACAGTGTGCCGCAGTTAAACAGACCTCCTGCCACTCCAGTCGGCTCCAGAGCCACACGCTTAGCCAACAGAGCATGAGGAGCAGCCTGAAAGAAATAAACCGAGAGGAAGAGTGAAAGAGACCAGAGACTGATGTGTGAAAACCACTTAAGCCAATCACACACAGTCTTTTAGTCGCCAACTAAAAACTTCACAGGCAATGAACTTGAGCGCATATTTCTATGTATTTTCTTAATTACTTTCATTGTCTTTGTAGCTTGAGCTCTACTTTAGATTTCGGTTCGACTGTTTAGAATTATTTATCGGTGAATGTCTGGTTGATGGTAAATGTCGCAAACAGTTCCTTGTAAAAAAATAAGTAGACTTTAACATACTTCTAAAGTTTTAGAGTACTTATTATGGACATAATGTACATTTAAAAGTGTGAACTGAATGCAATGTTTTCAGTGTTAACTGCA